ATGCTTTTCCTCTTCAAATGTCTGCACTTCCCAAAATCCTAAAGCTTGCCTTTCTTTCCCAGTATCAACTGGCAGAAGGTTGTGGGCTGGGTAGGTGGGGTGTCGGAAATGGCTGCCCTCTCTCCTTCCTCTTGCATTGTGATTTCATGGGAAGATCAATGTTTAATTTTCTTCAGCAATGCTGAGCGGGTAACATCCTATTAGTTAGTCCTGCTGCCCTCTCTCATACGTTTTGCTTCATGAGAACCTCTTGAACATCCCGTCTATACCATCCCATCTATACCTTCTCTGTCACTTCTTCATGTGGCTTTCCATTCTGCTCTTTACACTTGAGCAGACCTTCATCTCTGTGCAAGAGATATTGCTGGCTTTGATTTATGTCCTTTTTCCTGAAGGAGAAACCTTCTTCCATTATAAAACACTGGGCCCAGTTATTTTTTGGTAAACAAAATTTTGGTTGAAGCCAGTGGGTTTATCATCCAAGTTGCATTTGAAGTTGCATCTCTGACCACCCCCCGCTTGATAAATGCCCATGGATATCTATGTGTATTTGCAGGTGGACAATGCTCAGGCATTTATTTGGCTGTCACAGCTTCGGCACCGGTGGGCTGATGAAGAAAAGCACTGCTATGCGAACATATGTGATGCCCAGTTTCTTTATTCATATGAATACCTCGGTAACACTCCTCGCCTTGTAATCACTCCCCTGACAGACAGGTAGGTACCTAGATGGTCTATATGCCTTATCACAGGGTTGCTTCAGCTTTAGTGCTCTCCCAAGTAGGGCAAAGAAACAACTGTTAGCTGCATACAGGTGTTCATGGACGTGAACGACCCATGCCCCCAGCAGCTGGGGGGGCATGGCTGGACCGGCGGTGGCAGGAGCCTGGCGGTGGTGAGTGGGGAGCTCCCACAGACACCACCAGGGGTGCACTGCCACGCTCGGGGTGTACACATTCACCCTCTTGCACCCCCTACATGTCACCCCTGTTCATGGAGTTCTTTCTTTCCCTTCCTATCCCAGCTACCCTGCAACAGAACTCTAACTACCTTGCTGTAGGATTCATTGTAGGAGATATCTTGAGTATCTTTCCCTCTCTTCCCTCATTCTAGTGTGCACCAGAGTGGGACTGTTTTTGGAATCTGTCATGGTTATCACTAGGCCAAACAGAAGGGATCACTGCACAATGGACTGCTCCAAACCTGAGCTAGCTAATCAATAATACAAAGCACTAAAAAAGAAAATTTCTAGGACACTTCCTTAGTTAAACTTGTATGGCTCCACTGCTACCACTTTGTGATAGGGTGGTGGACCACACGCATAACGTCAGACAGCTTAATATTTAAAAGGAAAACTGTGCCCTTGACACTGAAAAAATTGGGATTCTAGGATTCCATATGGAAGACTCAACAGACTAATAACTGTGAATCAGCAGATTTTTTGGTTTACAAACTCAGTCTGAATACTCATGTCTTGCTCAGCATGCATTGATTCAGTCCAATTACCCCATAACCTGTCAGTAGACCTTTGAATAAGGAACCAATATGCATTGACCCAATATACATTAGCCCTCCTTATGGTATTGCCAGGTTCTTTCATGTAATTTGGGTGCATTAGGGCTGTCTGACTCCTTCATCTCTTTTTGTTTCTCTCTCTCTCTTTTTTTTTTCTTTTCTTCCTCCTTGTTGCTGGAAGATGCTACATCACCCTTACCCAGTCTCTACACCTGACCATGAGTGGTGCCCCTGCTGGGCCTGCAGGGACTGGTAAGACAGAGACCACCAAGGATTTGGGGCGAGCCCTTGGCATCATGGTATACGTGTTTAACTGCTCTGAACAGATGGATTACAAGGTATTGGTTCTGATGTAACTCAGGTTCATGTCATGTTATGGGAATAGACAGGGGGTGGGACAGATCTGAAACCTCTGTAAAATCTGAGGACTAAGAATAAATTGACTTCGAAGTGAGGTACCTTGTTTATCTTCCACTCTTTAAATTCACGCTACATTTTTTTTTTTATGCCAAATTCTTACTCCTCTTCTGGGAGCTGTATGCATGCACACTAAACTCTGAGAGGCAAAGTCAAGCTTGTTCTTGTCTCTAGGGACCATTAGTCCTATGAGGCTGGCACCTTCTGATGGTATTGGCTACAAGGTCCTTTAGGTTGGCTCACCAGATAAAAAAAAAAAAAAATTGAACAGGTTTGGAAAAGAAACAAAGATTATTGTGGAGAATGTCTGAAGGTCTGTTTTTAACAGTCTCTTAAACCAGAATCCTATTTCAAAGGGCATAATCATCATCCTCCTGATAGTTTGCTACTGGCCTCTTTTATCCCGGCGCAGTTTTTGAGTGAGAAATTAGAAGGCTTCATGGATTTAGCTACCTCAGATAAAAGGGAGAACCTACTCTCCCTAATTTCAGAAGGTCAACTGAGTGCAAAAGGCAACTGACACCACCTTCAGGTGCATGGCCTTTTCAGCTTGTCATGGCTGCAGTGACCGGACTTTCTCATCCGAGTCATCCAATCTGCAGTTAAAGACTTTTTGAACCAGATTATCTGATTTTTAAATCCCCAAATTTATGTTTTTCCATGATTAAAATGAAACACCATATATATATGTATATATGTGCATGTATTGTGTGTGTGTATTAGGCCTGTGTGAAGCGGCTAGTATTCACGTTGGATTCAGATTCAGCCGATTTTCTGGGGACAGTGATTCGATTTGGTGATTCAAATCTCTGTCCCGAATTGATTTAATTCGGCTGCAGCCAAATCTCTGAATCACACAGGCCCCATCTGCTCTCAATGCCTGCCCCGCCTGCCCTAGCTCCCAGCTCTTTGGGAGAAAAAGAAAAAGAAGCCCCCATTCACCGTCTCCTGTCTGGCAGGGGAGGGGGAGTGATCCCTACTGCCCCCGACTGCCCCATGCCATGTGGGGTGCTCTGCCATGAGACCCCGCCCTCTCTCCTAGCCCCCCTCCCCCCATGGCTGCCCCAACCACTGCAGCTCCTGGTCCTTAAAAACAAAAACAAACAAGCCCTGACTCACTGGTTCCTGCCCAGCAGCAGGGCAATCCCCACTGCCCCACACTGCATGGGGGGGCTCTTCCATGAGCCCTCCGAGGTCACTGCAGGAGCTGGTGAGGCCAGGGTTTTTGTTTATTTATTTTTTAAAGGGCCAGGAGCTAGGGCAGGTGGGGCAGCCATGGGGGATCTGGGAGAGCAGGGGGAGTGGTCAGAGGGCTCATGGAAGAGCCCCCCCCCATGCAGCATGGGGCAGTGGGGATGGCGCCCCCTGCCTGGCAGCACCCGGTGAGTAGTGGCTTTTAAAAAAAATAATGAGAGCTGGGGTGGGTGGGGCAGCCAGGGTGGGGGGACAGCGGGCAGGAGGTGCTGCGGGGGGCTGGGAGAGCAGGCAGGGGATGGGGCCTGGCAGGGCTCCCCCCCTGGTCCCGTCCTCCAGCCTCCCCTCCCCCCATCCCCTACTTAACAGCTTGGAGTCCAGGTCCAGCTCCCTCCTGCAGCCAGTGGGGACTGCCCAAATCTCCGAAGCTCTCTGGATCTTTTCTGAGTACATTCGGAGAGCTACGAATCAATTCGGACCTTTTATTTGTTCCCCGGATTCAATTTTGGGGAGTTGACCACTGAATTGGGCCAAATCTCCTCTGAATCGAATTAGCACCCAAACCTTCGCACAGCTCTAATAAATGTTTGTGTGTATATATATAATATACACAATGTATATATAAAATATATAGTGTGTGTGTGTGTGTGTACATATATATGTGTGTGTATCAATTTAAGACAATGTTTTATTGACATATTTACAATTTGATAGCACTTTGGAAGTCTACCATTGCCTCAATCATTATAATAAAATTAATTCTGAATACCTATATATTTTGGCATTTGATTTTTGGATTTTTTAATCATGGAATATCAGAGCTCCCTCTGCCACATTTGCTCACCAGGTGCAGGTCCAGCTGTGGCTGTTCCCCCTGCTGCTTTGTGGCACTGAGTAACCTTGATATTCCAATGCCAATGCCCTTCCCCTGCCCCTGCTGTTGCCCTTCACTCCCAACCCATATCCCCCTGGCCTTGCCAGTGCCCTGCAGTCCCAACTCCATCTCCCTGGGCCATGCTGATGCCCCTCACTCCCAACCTGCAGCCCCTCATCTCTGCCAGTACCTCTCACTCCTGACCCGCAGTCCCCTGTCCCTGCCAGTGCCCCTCCCTCCTGATTCACAGCCCTCTGGCTCTGCTAGTGCCCCTTACTCCCAATCCATAGTACCCGCCCCTGGGCCATGCTGGTGCCCCTCACTCCCAAGTCACAACCCCCCCATCTCTGCTGGTTCCCTTAACTCCTGACCCACAGCCCCCTGGCCCTGCTGGTGCCCCGCAATTCTGACCCACAGTCTCCCACCCTCCAGGTGCCCCTCACCTCCCAACCCACAGTCCCCTGTCCACCCTAGTACCCCTCACTCCCAAGCCACAACCCCCTTAGCCCTGCCAGTGCCTCTCACTCCTGACCTATAGCTCCCACCAGCCCTGGCAGAGGGGGGGTCCCAGTTGGCCCTGTCTCACCTGGCCTGTAGTGTGGTGGCTCTAACTTGTGCGGGCAGTGGTAGAATGAGTCCAGGCTGGACACGGGCTGGAGGGAGGAGGAGGAGAGATCTGTGGTCCCCTTTGCCCTGGGCTGGTTGGTGCACTTCTGCCATGCCAGGCCTTGTGGCCACATTTCCTTCCCCCTCCCCCAGCAGCATCTCCCTGTCGCCCTGCCCCTGAAAGCATGAGCACCAGCCCCAGTACCGACACCCACCCTTGCAGCTCCCTGCCCATCCCAACCCCCCCCGCCGCTCCTTTCTCCCTTCTACCATTGAAAGGGAAGGTGCCTCCCCCTGACTCTTCTGCCCTGCTACAGCCCCAGAACCTGGACACCTTCCCCCAGTGGTGGCAGGCGCCATCCCCCCCCAACATGCTCATCACCTCCACACACCCCTGCTACGCAAACACACACACACACACACACACACACACACACACACACACACACACACACACACACATGCCCCTCTCCTACAGCCTCCAGACAGTCCCCAAGCCCTGGCCCTCCAAACAGTTCCCCCCATAGACTTACCTGCATCCAGTTGCTGGGGCTTCTCTCACCACCTGGCTGGCTGTATGCTGGTGCCCCCTGCCTCCATTCACCCTCCCTTCACTCCCCCCAGCCCCAAGCAGCTCCTTGCAGTCTGGAAGTCTGTCAGGCTGCAAGGGGAAACCCACAGATTCCCACTGTTTTCTCCTTTAAAGAGGAAAATGCACATTTTTTTTTCCTTTTAAAGGAGAAAAACCATGTTTTTTCTCCTTCAAATGCAAAAATCTGTGTTTTTCTACAGCAAATGGAAAACCCAGATCCCTGCTTATTAGTAACTGAAGTTCTTCAAGATATTTTGTCCTCATACGTTTACAAACCAGAGAGCTCCTGAAAAAGTAGCAAATATTTCATAGAAGCATCCATCTGCATCATGTTCCTTAGTGTATAGTACAGACATTTCTAAGCAGGATTTGGCAGTGTGCTGAAGAGAAATAAATTTCTGGCCAACCACCCATTCTACCAAAACAATTTGACCTGATTCTCCCATATGTGGGCTTGTGAGCAAGTCATATTCTCTTGCCTTGGAACCACGCTGAGTGATTTAGACCGCAAGGTATCCCCCAACACTCACCTGCCATGCCTTGATGGAATTTATGTCTGGGAGGATGGATGTTCTGGCTTGCACGTCTGTCTGATATCGTCACAGATCTTCTGCAGGGCTCCAGCCTTCCCTATACCCTGCTCCTTTCCTCTCAGGTGGATGTTCATTGTGCTTTGTAGATGGTGAGTGGAGACAGTCCAGCTTGCTCACTCTTACTCTCTCTCTCCCTCCAACCTTCAGCTCATGGTATCTCATCCTGGTTCTTCCTCACCTCTGTCACTCTATGAAGATTCTCCTCAAATCAAAGAAGTGTTATCTCTCTGAGATCTCTTGGAGTTCTTCCCTTGTAGGGCCCCTGTGGCCTCTGCCTCAGTCCCTAGTACCTCTCTCAGGTCTTCTCTCCCCGCTTCTGGGTCTGTTCTGCCATTGACAGCATATCTCTGCTTGGCTCTTCACTCACTGGCAAGATACCTAGGCTCTATTTTTTATGCTGGCATCCTTAGGGTAGTCTCTGTATTGGCTTGCTGCAGCAACCAGTCCTCTTTCATTCACACCCTTTCCCTCCTTGGGGTGGACTGGCCCCAACTGCTTCCCACCGGGATTCTTCTCTTGGATGAACA